TGAAAAGTTTGAAGAGTAATGGTAGTAGTTCTTCTCTAAATGTCTTGTAAAATTCAGCAGTGAATCCATCAGGGCCTGGGCTTTTCTTTGTTGGTAAGTTTTTAATTACATTTTCAATTTCACTGATTGTGATTGGGGTGTTTAAAATGTTTTTATCTTCTTCGTTCAACTTTGGTAATTCATAAGTATCTAGAAATCTGTCCATTTCTTCTGTGTTTTCCATTTTATTAGAGTACAGGTTCTCAAAGTAGGTGTTCATGATCCTCTGGATTTCTTTCGGATCTGTTGTGACTTCGCCTTTTTCATTCCTAATTGCATGGATCTGAGCCTGAGAAAAGTTTTTATATCCAAAATTATTATATTGTAATTAAGAATTTTTAAAACATGGATTGAATATTTTGTGTAGTAATTAAGAGAGATTGAGATAGTTCTAGAAGTTTATTGTGACATTATGCTTGAATTAAGTTCCAGTTAACCTTTTAAAAGTCTTAGGAAAGATGAGTGGATTTCTTTCGGATCTGTTGTGACTTCGCCTTTTTCATTCCTAATTGCATGGATCTGAGCCTGAGAAAAGTTTTTATATCCAAAATTATTTGATTGTAATTAAGAATTTTTAAAACATGGATTGAATATTTTGTGTAGTAATTAAGAGAGATTGAGATAGTTCTAGAAGTTTATTGTGACATTATGCTTGAATTAAGTTCCAGTTAACCTTTTAAAAGTCTTGTAGGAAAGATGAGTATAACAGAATTGTAGCCTAGCATTTAAAAGAAAAGAATGAATGCAAGACAATTGTAGGGTCTCAAATAAAAAAACTTTCTTGCTTGTGTGTGTTGATGTGTAAGCAAGAACTGAAATCCTTAAGTTGTTAATGACAGTTATCATCTTTTCTGCACTGATAAATACTTATTTTTAATGTCAGTATTTGAGACAACCCTAGTTACCTTTGAACAAAGGGAAATTATAATACTGTTTCTTCAAAGTTGCTATGTATGGATAGATGTATGGAAGAACTAGAATGAATGAAGTAATCAAGAAGGACTAAGTCCCATTGTTTAAATACTATGCACTCATTTTCCATTTTTCCAACCTGTTCATTTCCTACCTATTCAAGTCAGGCTCAGTACAGAGTACTGGAAAGTTGCATTTCACTTTGAGGATGAAGCAAGTACTCACATCAATTTCTATATATATCTCAGGAATTTGTTTGAACTTAGGACCTATTTTTCTTGTATTTAACTTTTAGACATATTACCTTTTATTTTTATTATTCTAGGGGTATTATATGGTGGTACTGATCTATATGTATACATAAATATTTATATATGAATTATACATGAAGGAAACACTGTTCATATGAAGATAGGAAATTGAAAAATCGGTGTGAATTTCTGATTGTTTTGGTAGTTGATGTGTAAATGTGAGGATATTTAACAAAGCTTGGCTACACATTTGTCTAATGGCTACCAGGTATTGTATTCTGTGTTAAGGCAGGTGTTGGGTGGGATAGACAGGGATAGGCAAACAAAACTAAATAAAACTGTATAGTAGATGTGTTATAAGAGAGAGAGCTGTAAATGTACTGAAGCATGCAAAGGAGAAAACTAGTACTGTCTGTGGATGTCAGGGCACACTTCCTAGAAATAACATTTGACATGTCTTGAGGGTAGTATGCACCCACAGAGAATATCTGTGTTTGTCTTAGTGAATATAGGGATCATATGTTTGAACAGAAAAAGTAAACAGTGTCTCAACACCAACCTAGCACAGGTGCCCGCCCCAGAGGAGAGGTGAGAACAAAGGTAATCTCAAAAGATAATACGAGAATGTTTCTTTTGAGGTAAGAGGTAGAGGAAGGTATCACAGTCCCAAGAGCCTAGTGTAATGAGAGCCTCAGACCAGACTCAGTTTTTAGGTGATGATTTAGAAAAAGAAAGGAAGAATATCAGTTGCATTATTCTGTTTGAAACTGAAAATAGTTGCTTTCATATTTAATTTCTCAATTGACTCTTGCTTTTTTAAGTGAATGATGTTTGTTAGAAGTTAAGAGTTTAATAGAACCTTAAAAATATCACAGTCTCCTTCATTGGGTGTTCATTTTATATATATACATATATATATATACACACACACATACACACATATATACATATATACGTATATATATATATATGTGTGTATGTGTGTGTGTATATTTTCTCTCTAAGTAATACTCTTGATTCTGAATGTAAGCTATGTCATCCTTTTACTGAGAATAGCTTATATGAGAAGGGAAGACCTGAAACCCTTTCTGCTGAAATAGTATTGGTTCAGGTTATTTACTGTTTTGATACACTCCATTTTCAAGGACATCAAAAGCAAGCTACTTACATTAGGCATCACTTAGGCCCAATATTGTTTTCTAAGGCTGGGGTCAGGAACAGAAGAATTGAAATTAATCTAAGAGTGACATCATAAACAAGAAATGAGGTTTGAACCTTATTACACAGACAGGATTTGACCAGAGCAAGCAACTCTGAAGAAAAGGAGAAATAACAAATTAAAGGAAACAAACTGTGCAGGGTTCAAGCCAGAGTATCAGATGATTGCAAACAAGAGGACCTCTGCTGCATTTTGTTTTTCTTTTTCTCCTCATACCTGGAAGCATCTGTTGGTTGATGTCACCTGTGAAGACAAGTCAAATCTTTTCATCAGAACCCTAGCTCTTTAATGATTCTATTGTTTTATAAGTTGCTTTCCTTATAATATCAAATCCTTTTAAATGTTATTTTTCTAATCATTAACAAGATGCATATTTCATACTGAACGAATGAAAATTGTTTTTTATTTTAATCATCAAACATGCTCTTTTAATCTTATGTCTTTCAAGTAGAAAGTAACATTTTGATTATGAAAATTTAGTATTTTAAAATCAGAATTTTAAGATTTCTATTTTCATTAAGTGATTTTCAGCACAAAAATAAGCAAGAATGTTTTTTTATTAGTGGCAGAGTCAGAGTAAGAATTTGTTTTCCCTATACTGCAATGCATTATTAATACAAACAGTGGAACTTATTTCCTGAGGCATTAAGTAGAAATAAATTTCTATTTTTTAATTTTTAGTTGAAATACAAAGCATTATTGCTTTTTAAATAAATAACAATAAAAATAATTGGTTATTAGGACTTCACTCATAAACTCAGTTATTCATATGTGCTTTCCAGGATATCTTTGATAAAAAGTTATGTTAATTTACATATATCCATATGATGCCACCAAGAAGTTCATACCATTTTACCTGAATGTAGTAATTACCATGTCAGACAATCAATTTTAATAGCAATGATATTGCAATGTGAAGAGTTCAGCTAGAGCTTAAAACCATCACCAGTACTGCTTTTGTGAAGGATAATTGAGATTTCTGTGTGAAACACTGAATGAATTACCTCTTAAAAATGAAAAGAATATTGAAGATAAAGGATTAATGTTTAATGTTTAGCCCATGCCCAGTGGATTTGTGAAAGTGAAATTGAACAAGTTTGTCTCAAAATTGTTCAGAGAGCTTTGAGAGAACCTAAAAGTTGAATTTTGTCCACATAAAGATAAAAAGCTTCATTATGTTATTATTCTTAAAAGTATTTTTTATCTTTTTACGCAATTAAATATTGGGTTATTAAAAATACATGATTACCCACATAATTTATCACCATGGAAATGAATACAGAGTTTTTTGGGTTTTTTTTTTTTTGGTGTCTTCTATCAGTAGCTACAGTTTATACAGTAAATAACTGAAATATAAATTGTTTCTGTTTCAGGGATTCCTCAGAAATAGTCATACATTCAGCTGATGCATTTGCACCAGTGGCTTATCTACGCTTTTTAGAATTGCACTTGGAGGACAAGGCAAGTACATCTAAGATTCACTTTGATTTTTATAGAAAATTGAGGTTCATGTTTTGGCCATGTATATATAACTGTATAACAATAGAAGACAGGATAAAAACAGTTGATTTTATCTCTAGTGATTTTTTTCAGCTTTTCAGTCAATAACAAAGAATTTTACAAATGCTGTACTTTGAGTTCCTTATGGTACAAAAGACATTACATTCATAAAAAGTTTGTTGATGTTGAAAGGGAATAATAAAAACAAATATTGAGAAGAGAAAAAATAATATAAAACCAAATGTAAAATAATAAGATCCCAAGTATTAGATTATTGTTCACAAGCATTTGGGCTTCATTATGCAAAGTTTAAGAGGCAAACAAATAGAAATAGGCTTTTCTAATAATTCCAAGCTAAACAGGTACAAAAGAAAGAAAGGCAAAATGCAGGAAGGAGTTTTATTTTAAATAAAATGATGATAGGATACTGCAAAAATGTCACTTTAAATACATCTTACTGAATAGGTAAAGATCTGTATTAGGTCTATTGACTAAAAAAATTGATCCTTGACATACTATTTTATATTTATCGTCATGGAAATAATAGCTGAAATTATATGAGGAAATGAGAGTGGTGACAGAAAAAGATTGTGGAAAGTCTTCCATGTTTGGTGTTTTTTCCCTAATCCTTGAGGCACACTCAAAATTACATGGATCTGATAGGGAATCTGAAAAATCAGGAGAACTAATGAATGTTTTGGCAAAAGTAAGAAAACAGCGGAACCCTCAAAAATCTCAATATGAAATCCTCCACATTAGGAAATTTTTAATGGTGCCAGTTCTCCAGAAAAATGATAGTGAACAGAACTGTAAATTGCTCAGTGAATTCAGCAGGAAGATTATTATTGGTGGGCCTTTATCAAAAGCTGATAATCCTCAAGAGAATGAAGTTAACACTATCCAAACATCTTTCAGACTCGATAAAAAGAGCCACTAGATCTGTTCTACTTTTCTACCATGTAACACACAGAAAGTCAAAACCATTGAATTCATATTTAGACATTCCTCCCATTATATGTTCAAGTCTACTTGAATACATCACTGTCTACCTTTTTTTCACATTGCATTGTTCTCTTAGTCCTTATTGCAAATAGTAGTGTTATATCTATAACGTAGAATATTCACTGACATTGAATACATATGGTACATTTTTCTTCTTTTTTTTTTCTTTTAGGTGTCTACAGTGTCTGACAAGTACAAAACATGTAGCTCTATACACAATTCTTGAAAAGCATTTTAGAATATTGTAGACTAAACTATCATTTCTTTAAAAAATACATGCCAGTTTGTCATTTTTGAACAGCTTTTTCCTACATTTTTATGGCTCAAAAAATATACTTGTTTTCAGAAGAAATTGGTGGAATTGTTAATTGGAAAAATTTCATTGACTGCCTATTTCCTCAGGATTTGCTTTCTCTTTTTTAACACATCTTACTATGATCTCTATGTCATAGAAGGAAAAATATGTATCTTTTCTTCTTTTTCCTTTATCTCCATTTCTGTAACATTTCATTGCCACGTTAGTGTCTTTTCCTTCTTTTCTTTTGTTTTCCCATCCCTGCTGAATAGGTCATAATGCAGAAACATCTGAAAATGAAGGTGAAAAAGCAGTTTATATAGTCAATAAATTGATTCTGATAGTTGTCATCAAAGTGATTTATCATTTTTGTTTTGAATATATTCATCATTCTAGAGTTTCAGCATAACTGAACAATCAGGATGATGATCATAACTGGTTATTTTATGATTGATTTTAAAAATGCAACTTTCAAATATTATGCTGATCTTAGAAAACTTTTTTTTAAATGGATCCTTTTTTTTCTAGAATACATTTCATTTCACAGCAAAATTGAGCAGGAAGTAGAGTTCCTATATATACTGCCTACCTCTGCACAAGCATATCCTACTCCACTGTCAACATCCTGCCCGAGTAGTATATTTGTTACAGCTGATGAACCTATTTTGATAAATTATCACTCAAAGTCCGTAGTTTGCATTATGTTCACACATGTGTTTTATGCCATATGGGTTTCAACAAATGTCTAATGATATATGTTCCACCATTTTCATCCCTCCTTTCCCTGTATTTCCTGGTAACCATCGATCTTTTTACTCTCACCATAATTTAATTGCATAAAATGGCAAGTACTTGAAATAATACACTTTATAGCCTTTTCACATAAGCTTGTTTCACTTGTTAATATGCATTTAGGTTCCCCTGTGTCTTATTATGTATGGTCTGATGCATCATTTCTTTTTTTTTAATTAAATAAATTTTTATTTAAGGAATGTGATTCCTTCTTTGTCTTCAAGGTAGTGCTTTTTCAAAGAACTGTTGCTTAATCCAGTCATCCTATCTGCCCTGGGATCTTATCTTATATCCAAATTCCTTCTAGCACTTTACACTTTAGGAGCACTTAGGGTAGAAGAATCTGTGTTGATGACACCTTCTCTAAACATGCACATGAATTCTTATTCATTTCCTAAAGAGAAATTACAAAATAAAAGATTGAGAAGCACACAAAGTATTTCCAGTAAATATAAATTTACTGTGCAGACTTAATAGCTACCTCCAACTGTCAAAATTATTTTAGTTCGTTTGTATCATTCAGCAGTCAAACAGTTAAATTCATCATCTGAAGCTCATTTCTTTTTGATGCTAAATAATATTCCATTGTCTGTATATACCAAAATTTATTTTATCCATTAACTTCCCAAAGAATATCTAAGTTGCTTCCATTTTTTGCACTTATGAATAACATTACTATAAACATCCATGTATAGAGTTTTACTGTGAGTGTAAATTTCCAGTTCATTTGTATATATACCAAAAACATGAATACTGGATTGAAAAAGAGAGGTAAGGAATGTCTAGTTTGTAAAGAAACTGTCAAACTGTCTTCCATAGTAGATGTGTTACTTTGTATTCCTGCCAACAATTAATGAGCATTGGGTTTTATCTATGTTTTGGACTTTTTGATCTCTCAGTATTTTACTTTATAGAGTCTCCTAAAGATTTCTGATGTTGAGCATGTTTTCATGTTTATATGCGATACATAAATTTTCTGCAATGAAATTTATCTTTACATCTTTCGCCCATTTAAAAAATTTTAATTATTTACCTTTAAGAGTCCATGTATTTTTTGAGTAACAGTTCTTTATTAAATGTATCAGTCAGTTGTTATGCTGCTGTGATACAATAGCCAACATCCACAATTTAAAGGTGGGAATCTTTAGTTTAGCTTACAGTTTCCAGTGATTCAGTCCATGATTCATTCCAAGCCAGAACCATCAGGGAGGATAGAAGGGTTTGACACTAAGCTGTGCAGTTTCATGACAACCAGAAAGCAGAGCCAGGGAATGGTGCCAGAAAGGAAGGAGAAGGAACCAAATAGAGTATCAAGATAAGACCTCTATTATCCAATCAGACACACTTAGAAGTGTGCACCACCAATCCCCTGGGCAGCTCCCAAGTCAATCAAACTGACAAATTAAGCTTGACCACCATATAGGATACCTTGTGCAAATATTTTCTCTTACTCTGTAAATGTTATCTCATCTTCCCATTAGTGTTTTTCATAGAGCAGAAGTTTTAAATTTTAATCTGTTTAGTCTTCTATCTAAAAAGCCATACCCAGGGTCGGAGATTTAGCTCAGTGGCACCATGCCTGCCTTGCAAGCACAACGTCCTGAGTTCAATCCCTGATACCACCACCAAAAAAAAAAAGTCATACTCAGACTCAAGGCTATTTAGATTTTATCATATTTTCTAGGAGTTGATGATTGTGTTTTACACTTACATCTATAACGTATTTTGAATTTTTTAAGATATGTGAAGGTATAAATTTCCAGTGATAAAAGTCATTACATTGTATATCTTAAATGTACGAATAAAATTAATTTTAAAAAATTTTAAAGATGTGTAAGTCCTTTCTTTTTCTGTATAGATAACAGTTCTAGTACCATTTATTAGGAAGAGTATCTTGTCTCCATTGTATTGCCTTTTTCTTTTGTATATTTGAATGATGTATTTCAAATCTCTTTGCTTTGTTCTCTTGATATGTTTGTCTTTTATTTTGCAAATACCACATTTTGATTATTTTAGGTTTATAATGAGCTTTAAAGTCAAATGCTGTCTCTCTGCTAACACATTTTGCAGTTTTATGTTATTGCTTCCTCATATCAGTGTTAGTCATTTTTTTAATTATCAAAAAAAAATCTTGCTCAGATTTTTATTGGAATTTCATTGAATCTCTAGATCAAGATGGGAACACCTGACTTATTGATAATATTTTTTTCTTTCATCTGTTTTTTTTAATTTGTATGTAAGATTTAGTTGATCTTCATTGCTCATTTTTTATACCACAGACTTTTGTATTCTCAAATTACTGATCCAAAAATATTATTGTACAGTTCAAGTGTATCTAATAAAATTGATACTAAATTAGTTTTTTCATTCAAATGAACTGCTTTTTAAAAAAATTCTTAGTATGTTTGCAGTACAAGTTTACATTCATCTTGACAATATTTAATCTCCATATTTATGAACATATCTCACAACTTATTTCATTCTTAAAACTTCTATTTGTTTTATTTAGCTCAGAGCTTTTATTTAGTTCAATTTTTTAGTTGTTTTTTGTTTTTATCATTACACCTTAATAATTTATATATGGCCTCAATTAGAACTATTTCTCATACAAAATGTAAACTTATTCACTCTTCCAAATTTATTGTTTTCCTGGTCTTATTATATAGCACAACTGCTTCCCATCTAGTATCTCAGGCACAGAGTTTGGTATCATCTCTTCAGCTGTCTCATATACCATGTTCTGTTGCATCCCATGCACATTTCTTCAGTTAAATGCTACAGCCTGTATGAATTCTTTTGTATTAAGAACTTTTGAATTTAATTTTATTTTAATGCTTCATTTTTTTCTTAATATAGAATCTTAGAGACATGTTTCCATTCCGTGTTGTATACTATTTTATGAATCATTTCTTTATTTTTATTTTATCTTGCTATTAGAGAAAAATGCTATAAGCAAACTAAAATGTAAAACACAACTTTTAGAGAGATCATTATTATTTTAGAGAGAGTGTATATTTTATGTTATTGTCTATATTGTGACTTTATAATGTCCACCCTTAAACTTTTTCTAAAAATGATTTATCTACTTAAATTTTACCTTTAAGGTGAAATCTTAAATTATATGTATTAAATTCATAACAGCTAAACATAGGATCTCAAACAAAATAATAATGAAAAGCTTAGGGTTAAAAATAGGGAAATAAATTAAAATTTCTTTGGGACTCTGACTTTATTATTTATGGCAAACATGATTTTAAAATATGCCCATACATCACTACAATGACAAAATTGAGAAAATGAAAAATATACAGCTTTACATAAATCAACCCAATGATCATATTAAAATGCATAACCTTTAACAGAAAAATCAAGACTTTTAACTATTCAGAATGCTACCTTTTATAGTTACTTTAGATATTTAAACAGCTTTATGGGAAATAGTATTCAAATTATGCCAGTGAGAATGGATTTCTAAACAAGCAAACTTAGAGCTGGGGGTGGTGGCGCACGTCTGTAATCCCAGCACTTGGGATGCTGAGGCAGGAGGATCGCTGTGAGTTTAAGACCAGCCTGGGCTACATAGTAAGTTCCAGGTCAGTCTCAACTACATACTGAGGCCCTATCTTAAAACACCAAAAAAAAAAAAAAAAAAAAAAGCAAGCTTAGGAGAAAGTGTTTGTGTAGTGGGTTTCCTGATGCAAGAGCAAAAGATAGTCTTCTGTGGCCAGTGAAATAAAAAGAGAATCAAAGTGGACCAAAATTCAATTTCTGGGGGTTGGGGTGCTGGTTTATACCTAGAGTATGGCCCCTCACCTTCCATTTCATCTTGGGATATGATTGGACTGAGGGAGGGATTTGGCTCTCCAGTAACTGACTGGATGATGGAATAGACTTAGATCCTTCAACCTTCCCTACCTAGCACGGAAAGGGAGTTTTATGCAAGGGTTCAGAGAAGCCAAAAGCAATAGAATAGTGTGAAGCAAACACCACACATTCAGGTCTTGAAAAAAAACAGGTATTTGGCTCTCCAGTAACTGACTGGATGATGGAATAGACTTAGATCCTTCAACCTTCCCTTCCTAGCACGGAAAGGGAGTTTTATGCAAGGTTTCAGAGAAGCCAAAAGCAATAGAATAGTGTGAAGCAAACACCACACATTCAGGTCTTGAAAAAAAACAGACTTTTCAAATCAATTGAGACAATGAGATCTTTTTTTTTTTTTTTTTTT